ACAAAAAGCCAACCATACCAAGCATTAGCCAGGAGGTGGAGCAACTGAACTCTTGACACACTGCAGTGAGAAGGAAACATTACGACTGCTTGGGAGATTGCCTTTAAAACTAAGACATGGAGCCAACACACACAGGTCAGTTTGTGACAACCAAGAACTAGAAACAACCCAAATGCCCATCAACATACAAATACAGTCTATCACACAAGGACTTACTACCATGCAATAAAAAGGAACAACTGGGGCTGGGGTTGTGGCTCAGTGGTAAAGCACTTGCTTAGCATGCATGAGGCACTGGGTTCGATCCCCAGAACCACATAAAAAAGTTAAAAATACAAAATAAAGGTTTTGTGTCCATATACAACTAAAAATATTTAAAAAAAAAAAAAAAAGGAACTGACGACTACAGTGGCTCCCTGTTATCTATATCTGGCTTTACTTTCTGCAGTACCAATCACTTCTGGCCCAGCAAGGTTTGAAAATATGAATGAAAAATTCCAGAAATAAACGGTTTATAAATTTAAAATTCAGAGACTGTAATGAAACTTCATGCCATCCTGCTTGAGCCACCAGAATGTGATGTGAACCATTCCAGGCACAAGCTGGACACACCACATGCGCCCTGGAGTGGAGAGATCATGCTCACCTCACTTTGGTAACAGTATACTAATTATTCCATGTATTGGTGTCATGATTCCCAAGACAGCAGGGGATACTGCATGGAGTTGAAAGAAGTCAGACAGAAGGAGCCCAAAACAACGTTCAGGAAGGGAAGGAAAGCAGGTCAGTAGGCCTGGGAAGTGGGCAGAGGAGGGCAGAGAGGGAGAGACGGCGGACCAGGGCAGGGGACGATGAGGACAATGGCCGTGCTCATGGCCTCGACCACATGAAGGCTTGGTCACCTCGCTGCACAGCAATGATACCCCACAGGCTACTTTTGTAAAGGTGCGGGAAAAAGAGATACCACAGGGCAGAAAAGACAAAGCCCCAGAGTAACTGCAGCACAGATGACCACATAGGACTGGGGCAGAGAAAGGACCCCTAGCAGTCCCCAAGAGAGACAACCTGCCCTGCGCAAAATTAGCAAAGACATAAACACTTCAGAGAAAAAAAGACCACAAACTTGTTTTTTTCTGTCTTGTATGTAGAGAAAAAAAAATCCTACATATGAGAAAAGATGCTCTACCTCATTTATGACCACAGTATACAGATGCCACACACTCCCAAACTAGTAAGAACCAGGTACTGCACACCGAGGACTGACTCAATTGCCACTGGAGGGACACAGGCCCTGAGGAACACAGCAAGTGGTCTGCCCCTCTAGAACAACTCCATGGCCTCATTTCCTCCAAATGTATACCATGAACACACATACCAAGGGTGTTCAAAATGCTCAGCCATGTCTATAAAATCTGAAAACTGGGGCTGGGGATGTAGCTCAGCTGGTACAGTGCTTGCCTCACATGCACAAGGCCCTGGGTTCTATCCCCAGCACCACACACACACACACACACACACAAAAAGGCTGAAAACAGGGCTCTCTTCCACCTGTTGAGGCACAGCAGACAGAGTAGGTATAGATGAGGAAGACCCCAAGCTAAGAGCCCAGCCGTGGCCACTCCCTGGAGAATGGCTCCCTGAAAGAGGGCCCTACTGATGCTTCTGGACTCTTAGGCAGTGGCCCTACTCAAGTGGCTCCCCGTATGAGGTTCAGCGCCAGGCTGGAGCCAGAAACTACCGCTCCCTGAGGCTGAGCCTGAGGAGTACTGGTTCTGAAGCTGTACAGCCTCCAAGGGGATGGAGACCTGGGTGTGTCGGACAGAACCCTTCACCCCAGCTTCAACAACCGCGAGCTGCCATCAGTCACTGTGGTCAGGACTGGTCTTCATCCAGCACAGTGCCAGCACCCCAGGGGGAGAGCGATCTGTGGAAACCCACCTCACCATGAAAAGGCATCGCAAGAAGAGGAGTCTGTTCTCTGGACAAATTAATTAGCATTTTGAAACTGGTACTAGAAACTCTATTCTGACTCCCTGAAAATACTCTGGGGTACCACACCTGGAATCTGTGACTGCAGTTTGCTGGGAACCACAATATTTTCACCTGGCTATAATTTTGGTTACTTTTTTCAGACAAGGGATGGAAAAATAGTCGATACAGTTTTGTTACCTCACTTATCCCCAAAATAGAAAAAACAGGAAGCACAATATTTTCTTTTGAAACGCAAAATTTCCATAAAACAAATATGCCCAATAAAATTTTTAAACTCCACTTTGATTAGTTTGTCAGGAAAAGGTTATTGCAGCAACTCAGGTTTATATCAAAGAAATCAAAATAGAGCAACCAACCCTTCATGCAGCTTCAGGTCAGATTAGAAGGCTGACAACTTTACAACCATACCCTAGACATCAAATGAAATTCAGCATGTTTTCAGGAGACCTTACTGAAATCGAGTCAGACGTGTAATGACTTATTTACATTTCCCTGAGCATGGACTGAAGTCCCGAGTAAGCCCTAAACACGGGTATGCCATCTCCTATCTAAACAGGATTTCCTGGCAGGCAGGTATTTGCAAATTTTTTGTTCCCATGTATGATCCTGCCCTCACCTGGATTTTGGACTTGTCCCTCCAGAGAAAGTGAATTCCATTAAGCCGCCCAGTTGGCAGTACTTTGTTATAGCACCCCTAAGACACTCCTCCCTCAGTTTCTCTCCCACAGTCCCAGGAAAGGCTGAAGTGTGAAGTTACAACATCAAACAGCTGTTTAAAACATTTGGGTTCAGCAGCTTGGCAGGCTTAGAAAGGAGGATCATGAGTTCAAAGCCAGCCTCAGCAAAAGTGAGGCGCTAAGCAACTCAGAGAGAGCCTGTCTCTAAATAAAATACAAATAGGGCTGGGGATGTGGCTCAGTGATTGAGTGCCCTGATTTCAATTCCTGATGGGGGAAAAAAATTGGGTTCTTCTCCAGGTTCTTTTTTTCTTTTCTTTTCTTTCTTTTCTTTTTTTTTTTGGTTGTATGAATGAGGCAAATTATTTTGCCTCTTATTAGATTTCCTGTAAAACTAGGGGGCCTGAACAGATCACATCCAGAGTCCTACCCCTCTAAACGCCCACAGACTCTGACTAGTCCAAATACAACCAAGTATGCCTGCACACCTATCCCAATCTCCCTACACTCCATTCCACACAGAAGGTTTCTGTTAAGTCTCCCTGTACATTGGAACATGCTACCTTAAGGACACGGAGGACAAGATGCTAAGACAAGAAACACAGAAAGGAATTCTATCACATTACTAGGAGGCAGGAAAAGATGCCCTAAATACTGCACTGATTTTCTGTACTGCTGTATTCATTTCCCATCACTGCTATGCAACTCAACACAAACTTCTAAGTGCCTTGGAACAATACCATTGATGACCTCACAGTTTCCAAGCAACAGAAGTCTGGGCACAGCATGGGCCAACTGGTTCTCTGCTTACTGGGTCACAGGGCCAAAATCAAGGTGCTGGTAGGGCCATGGTCCAGGTTTAGACTATTGACTTAACTCAGTCACATGGCTGCAGCACTGAGGTTCCAGGCCCCAGATGGGCTGCAGCAGGGTCACTCTCAACTTCTCCCCCTGCCCCCCATCAGCCCATGGGCCCCCTTCCTTCCATTCACAGCAGCTCAGCAGACACAGTCCTTCTCTATTCCTCCTCTGACCTTCTCACTTTTGAGCCCATGAAAACAAGCCAGGATAATCTTCCTCTCTTTGGGTGCTCATTAGTAACCTCAACTACATTCTCCCAAGTCCCACTTCAGTAGCCCTAGACAGTGCTTAAAATAATCAGGGCACTGAGGTTCAAAGGAGACATCTTTAGAGTGCTGCCTTCCAAATGCAATCCAAAATTTCATTTATTAACACACCAAAATAATAATAATAATACACTTCTGTGACAGAGTTTTAGGAATCAATAGTAACTCAAGTTTTCTTACTGCAATTTAATTGGTATGACTGAAATAATGGATGAGGCTTTTATTAAAGGCAGTAAAGGGGGAAAATAAATCTTTCTTAATGCACATATCCTTAGGAAATACAGGTTCAACAATGCAAAGACTGGACAGATGCAGCAGCAACTTCTTGATTTCCTATAAAGGGGCTTAATGGTTTCCTTCTCTATAAAAATGAGAAAATAATATCTGCTCACAGTCCAGACACAGAGCTAAAAAATGTAAGAGACAGAAACAAAACCCAGATGCCAAGAAATGCTGTTCACAGGTGACCACTTTCCTGACTTTAACAGCCCCCACAGCCAACCCTACTCAGAGTGAACCTTCTGTCCCTACTGCCCTCTAAAAGTCTCTCTTAAATGGGCAAACACAAGAGCCTTCTTTAGAGGACCCTGGTTAATGAGCCTGTGTTTGCAACACGTAAGCTTACTCAGGTAAACATGAACTCCAGGCGCAGGGTCACCAGGCTGCAATCAGATTCATGATATCAGTTTATTTTCAATGCTCTCCCAAACCTGCCTCAATGCAACAACAGCAACAAGCTAATCTTTGGAGGGTCAGGTGTCAGGCTCCCAAAGCTCTCGCACTGCAGGACCAGCTTTAAGCTCTCGGGGCTGAGAGCTGCACGCAGGGGCAGGCGGACCACCCGATCCCGCGCCCAGGGTCGGCGGGAGCCACAACCAGGCCGGCTCCGGTCTGCACCGGCCAATCCCGCGGCCGCACGCTCCACCCAGACACCCCGAAACTCCGGCGCAACTCGGGCGGGCCGCCAGGAGCTGGGGCGCGAGGGCAGTCCATCCTCCCCGCGGCTCCCCGGCCCCGTCCTCCCTCCCGCCCTCCGTGGCTTCCCGGGTCCCTTGGCCCGACCCTGGTCTCCGCTCCTCCGCGGCTCCCCCGGCCCCGTCCTCCCTCCCGCCCTCCGGGGGGCGAACGCCCCGGCAGCCGCGAAGATTCGACAGCGATATCCACCCGGAGGCCCGGCACCGGTGCGGCGGGGACCCCAACTTACGCTTGTACTCGGCCATCAGCCTCTTGAGCGCCGTACCCGCCATGCCCCCAGCAGCTGAGCTGGCCGCCTCACCTCGCCCGCGCCCCGACGCCGGGGTCGCTTCCGGGTCACCACCTCGCCAGGAGCGCTTCCGGGGCGCGGAGCGGCGTGCGCAGCGTCTACGACGGTGAGCAGGGGCGCGCACCGGGCGTCCCGCCCACTCGCACGCCGCGCCTGCGCGGAGCACGTCCCCGCCTCACAGCGCGCCGCGGTGCTGCAGCCTCTGCCCGGTGCTTGGGGTTACCCCACTGTCTTCCTGCCGCTGCGAGCGCGGCGTCCCGCAGTCGCGGCTTCGCTAGCGGCCACCCTCGAGGGGCTGGATCCCCGAGCCGCAGCGGGGAGGCCGGACGGAAGGCGGCCCCTCGGCGGGCCAGAAGGGAGCGGGCTCGCCCCGTCTCCCCGCCACCGCGCAGCTCCTAGCGGTCCGGCCGGGCGCCCCGTGGCGTCGTGTGCTCCCCCAGCGAGGGTCCTGCCCAGCCGGTGTGTACCAGTGTGGCTTTCCTAAGCAGCAAGTGGGAGCAAGCGCCTGGCTCCTGGGCCCCAGCCCGGGTCTGCAGCGGAGAAGGCCCTGGCTGCTGGGCGCGGGTGGGGGCTCCTGGGACCAGGCCCTTCAGCCAGCACGGAGTTGCACGGGGGCCTAAGATGGAATAGTCAATGGGGCCCCAACTGAAGTTTTTTTTCCAAAATGTAGAAACTACTCATTGATAGTAATCGGTAGAAACATTCCAGCCAAGCTTTTTCCCCTGAACCTCAGAAAAACCCAAGTGGAGGCAGACCCAAATGGAAGTTACAAGAATGTTCGGGCTCCAGGGCTAACCAAGTACTTTTCCGGGGGCTGATTATCAGCGTACATTTTGACCAATAGCATTGGTATTTTCCCAAGACCCCATTAGCAAACATTGAGCAATGCCCCACTGATACATTTAGACCGCCAACCCCTGCTGGGTCTCCTCTTACCCCTGCAGGAGCTGTCTATAGTCGCTTGAATAAATCCTATTCCTTTCATTCCTGCCATTGGTTATTGCCCGTGAATGTCATTTATGAGACAAGAATCCCAAAAGAAACTGGCGATGAGCTGCTGGAGGGCACAGCCCACATTAAGAGCTGCACCGCACCACTGGAGAGTGGAGAAGAACCCAGCCACCCAGGGAGCTGTCCCGCATCCCCTGCTGTGATTAGGTGCTAACACTATAATGGGCTTTCTTGGCTGCTAAGGCCCCTGGCTTACCCAGACACCACCACTACCCAAGGCAGTGGAGCCTCAAGCTTCATCTCAAACTCTGATTGCAGTAGGCCCTATCCCCTAAGGCTTCCATCGAACCCCAAGCTTCTTAATGCCAAAAGATATTACTCCAAATTCACAATTTACATAAATTCCTAAAAATGAAGGACAACCTCAAGGTTGTTGAGGTGAAAAAAGCTCAAGTGACTTTGTTCTACATACAAGGTACCTCTTGGCCTCCTTTATCAAACCAAAGGCACCCCCAGACCACCTCCCGCCATGTGCCATGAAGGTGATTTGGCAAATGGTCCCATCTCTGCACTGTGCTTTAATCCATGTGCTTCTGCTGATCGCTGGACCTGCAGCTCCACTGTCCCAGCTGCCTGCCATCTTTGTCCTAGTGCTCACACAGGCAATGGGCCAAATCAGCTCAGCCACTCAACCCTGGTCTTGTCTCACCATCATATACTGAGACTTTAATATTCATTTTTTAGTTGTAGCTGGACACAATATCTTTATTTCATTTACTTATTTTTATGTGGTGCTGAGGATCGAACTCAGGGCCTTGTTCCTGCTAGGCGAGTGCTCTACCGCTGAGCCACAATCCCAGCCCCTATACTGAGACTTTTCAAAGCAAATTGGTAGTAGTTCATTTTCAAAATGGGTAAGTGGTATTGGGGTTGTGGCTCAGTGGTACAGCACTTGCCCAGCAAGTGTGAGGCACTGGTTCAACTCTCAGCACCACATATAAATAAATAAAGTCCACTGACAACTAAGAGAACATTTATATTAAAAAAAGGGGGGGATAAGTTATCATCAACTGCACATCTTAAGACCGAAACATCCCAAGCTAACATCCAGACTCGCCTGCCTCCAAAATCCTCCTCCTCTTTACGTAGGAGTCCAGGCAAGGAAGGTGAGGCTGAAGGAAAGGTGGGCTCTGTGAGGGCAGAGGATGAACTCTGGGTAAAAGGAAGGTGGACCACATGGATGATGTACCAGTGGGGGAGCAGGTGTCGGGGCATTCCACGGCCCAGCAGCTAGCTTCCAAAGCAGGTGCCCCAGAGGCCTTGCTGAGTTATGACATGTGCCCAACCTTCAAATGCAGTGTTTAATAAAAGCCAAAAGACAGAATACCAAACTATCTTTACTGTTTACAGTAGTAAAGGGTAACATAATGTACAAATTGGTGAACAAACAACAGAGCCAACAACATCCCACCAGAGCCCATACAGCAAAACAGGAAATGAGGACATTTCTGCAAGATCTCAAGCAAGCGAGGTGATGGGTCACTGTCAGGTGACTATAAAAGGCAGAGAATGGCCATCAAGCAGCAATGGATCCTTACAGGACGATAGGCAGAACTATGAACATTTTAATTGGTAAAGATTCCCAAATATCTCACAGAACTGGAGTCACTGTTCTAATGCATAATTTCGATACTTATTTGGACAGTGGCAAAGTAAAAATCCATAAGAACACTAAGTCACCTTTCTGTGGGTTTCTTTTGCAACCACACTTTGAAGCAGCTCTTTTATACAACATAACTGCAAATTCAGTGATATTTCATCTTACTTTATATAAAGACCATAATTATCTGTTAGAAGTAAATCTGAGGCCACAATACAATTACCAAATGAGAAACATGGTAATTATTTCCTGGTTTTGAAAGGATAAAAGCTGGCTTTGGTCGTGCCAATCATTGCCCACATACCCACACCCAGGCACCGAGTGCAGAGGTGGCATCCTGGGCCTCAGACCCAGAGGGGACACACTCAGGAGCAGAAAGCACTTGGGCCTTATTACTGAAGGACTTATTTTGTTTTTTACCTTTGAAGAAGCGTTCCAGTATTTTGCCTCCAGCTATACCATATGCTTGATGAAGTCTGTCATTTGCAGCTTTTAGAATTTTAATAATGCGCCTGGAGGAATTCCACCCCTCACACTCTCCCACAGACGCACAGTGTGAACATGAGCTCTCCACGTGATTCGGACAGGTAGCTCCAGCAGTGACCACTTCTCCAGGGCTGAGAGCCTGGCCACAGACTGAACGCCAACATTTGGCCACAGGTTTGAAGGAAAACATGTTTTGAGAGGGGCGATGAACAAAACCGAGAACAAAAACAAACCCAAAACCTTAAAACTCATTTCACAAAGAGAACAATGTGATTGGCCCAATGTAAGCTGTAGACTCATCCCTGCAGAGTTTTGAGCTGCACTTGAAGTGCTTCAAGGATCGTTTCGGTGACTGTCCTTGTCTTTCTCGGACTCCTCTGTGATCAGCGTGGTCGCTCACCATTCAATAAGAAATGCAAGGACGCTGGCAGGGTGTGGGGTGGTCCCTCTGGAGGCCAGGCCTCCCGTCTGCTGCTGGAACACGTCGATGGTGTCCTCATCCTCCATCTCCAGCTGTCACAGTCCCAGGCAGCCCAGCGAGAAGGGACAGGGAACATCAGAGGAAGGGAAGATGTCCGACTGCCCCCCCCCACAGCCTAGTCACCCCCTGCTGTGCTGTGCCACCCCTCCTGTGCAGCACGCAGGGAAATCACAGTGACTGCTCCCCACCTCGTGTGCTCCCGCAAAGCTCAGAAGAATAGTCACAACTAAGAGTTCTGATAGAAAAGCAGTGATTAAAAAATACACTGAGCGCTGGGAATACAGCACAGTTGGTGAAGGGCTCGCCTCCATGCACCAGGCCCTGGGTTCAATCCCAGCACCACCAAAAAAACAAATGAATAATAAAATAAACTGGGGCTGCGGCTGGGGCTCAGTGATAGAGCACTTGCCTAGCATGTGGAAGCACTGGGTTCGATCCTCAGCGCCACATTTTAAAAAAATAAAATAAAGGCATTGTGTCCATCTACAACTAAAAGGAATTTTAAAAAATAATAATAAATAAAGTAAACTGAAATATCTAAAATTCCTGGGACAACTACACAAAATCAAATTCCAGTGAAGAGCTTCCAGTTAGCCATGCAAGTGTGATGGTCATGCCTACAAAACCCAAAGGCAACTGGATCTCCAAGGAAGGGTCCACAAAGTAAAAGCCCACTGCGGACAGGGATCCTGTCACCCAGAGACCAAGGCAGAGGTGGACAAGCTTCCTGCTCCTCCGACACAGGAGGGATAGAGATCCTCCGACCTCTCCCCATTCTCTAAGCACGGGAGCTTCTGCAATTCCCAAGACTGACTGAGCCCAGGACAGGAGTGGGAGCTCCCAGGAGGCGTCCCAGAAGTCCCTTCTAGGCCCGCTGCAGACACACCTGGGGAGGCTGGAGCCAGGAAGCGTCACTGCTCCTCCATGCCACCTGCTCCTGGCTCCCCACTCCAGCCCAATGCCCACCAACCCTTTCTGCTGTCTGCCTCCCTGGGGAGTCCTTACAGCGCCCACCCCTTTGGCTTAGTCATGTATGATTTCCAAAGGTGGCTAGAATATTTTTTGCAATAATATTTGCAATAATATTTTGCAATAATATTCCCAAAGGTGGCTAAATATTACAATAATATTTTCAATATTTATGCTATTAAATGTCTTGCAAAAATATTTTCACGTGAAACATTCCAATTGATTCTCACCACCTCTAAGGAAGAAAAAACAAGTACCATCTCCATTTCACAGGTGGACAAAACTGAGACTCCAAAGCAAGTGACTGAGGCCACAAGGGCCGGGTGTGGTGAAAGAGCTGCACTTGGGACTCGAGCTGGAGAACATCTGGCTCCAGGGACAAGCTCTCTGCACCACAGCACCAGGCCCTTTGCCGTGAGGAATGCGGGTGCTCACCTGCACTTCCGATGGCACAGGACATGACGGGCACCCTGCCCACCCGCAGCACTCACACAAGATGCCACAGGAGACAGGAATCAGGCCCACGTCTAGCCACTGACTGACTGCAACCACAAGCTAGGAGTCCACAGAGCCACGGCAGGGGTCCTGGCAGTCCCACCAATGGCCCTGGAAATCAACATGACTAAGCCAATGGCAGTCCCACCAATGGCCCTACAGCACAAGCCCCACCCTCAGATCCCACCTCAAAGACAGGGTGAGGTCTGACAGTGCCATGTTCTCATTTGAAAAACATCCCCAAATGCCAAAACTTAAAATCTAATAATTCAAATGATCAAGAAAATGTAAGGCATTCTCTTATGTGCAGCCCTCGGTAATTCTCAAATAAGCATTCCAAATGGCCACTGTGCAAACGCAGATGGGGAGGAGGTCCTGGACACACAGAGCTGGCTTCATACCTGGGCTGGAGTGTCTGTTTCGTTAATTGGCTGCCCATCAAACCTGAATCTAATCTGTCTCATTGACAAGCCCTGGAAAGAAAAAGCAATCACCATTAAATATCCCAGATAACACAGCTTAATTCAAGAAACAAGAATGTCTGTCAAACTACCAGAATTCTGAATATGCACTGAATTATGACCCAGCTGAGTATGAATACAGTGGCCCTCTGACACCCTCCTCCTCCCTGATCCACCCTCTCCATTCCACCCAGAAGCCAAGCAGCGCTTCTGTGAGCCAGCACCACTGCTTCCCCTTTACAAAGTCCCCATGGACACACAGGTCAGGTGGCAATGAAGGAAGTGGCAAGAAAGCCACATGGAGGGCAGCAGGAAGGAGGGGCAATGACCCATCCACGTCCTGAGGGAGCAGGTGAAGGTGGCTGAGGACTGAAACACTCATTGGTCAAGCAGCTCTGCTTCCCTGCAACAGGACAAACAGGGCTTGCGGCTTGGCTGCCTCCGGAAGCTGCTGGGAGCCATTACCCAAGTAGGTATGACAATTTCCTTGCCAGCGTACCCCATGTTGCAGTGACATTGAATGTACGTGACCTTGCTCAAGGACCAAGGCAGATTAGGGTGTTCCCGGTTTTAAGATAATCGTGTTTAGGGCGTTCCCAGTTTAGGTTCCAGGTTTAAGGTTTAAGATTATTCCTGCTGGGAATAGGGCGTATCCTGCTGCCTGAGTTCCCCTTGAGTTCTCACGGGATTTAGACAGTATATTTTGGGAGACAGAAGCCCAGTGGAGGTGGATTTGGGCAGAGAAGGTGAATTTGGGCAGAGAACGTGGATTTGGGAAGAGAACGTGGATTTCCCCAGAACGTGATTGTAGACGGCTGGTGTGAGTTCGGGAATAAAGAGCTGCTGTTTGAATCTACAAGCTGTGTGGTGGCTCGTGATTGTGTGCCCAGCCAGACTGTGGCAGGAAGCTGCAAGGAATAACATGGAGAAATGAAAAGGCACAAACCCTAAGGACAAATGGAGAAGGGAGGAGCCAGCAGACAGGCTGTGCCGCAGGGCTGGTCACTGCTGGTCCAAGGACATGGACCTCGGGTCTCAGGGTGCAGAAACCAGTGAGTTGCAGGAGGGGTCAGCCAGTGACCGGGGACAGAATCAGCATGCAGCTGACTCTGATGGCTGCTGAGCAGATCCCCATGTCATGGCACCAAGTGTCCCTCCCAAAGCAACCAACAAAATGTCCACTTCCTGGAGACGCGGACTTGGGAGCAGGCACCGTACTCCAATGGGCCTGAGCCCCTCAGTCCTCCACCTGTGTTCCAGGATGCAGGACAGAGCCATCCACTCCTGGGATGCTTAGTGACCCTCAGATGGCAGCATCTGGGTGCCCCAGTCAGCAGTCCCAGCAGGCCAGCACCTGTGGACATGTGGGCCCCTCAGCACACCCCCGAGCACAGCCCTCGCCATCAGCATTTTGGTGTTTCCTCCTTCACCATGAACAGGGAACTAGGGGCAGAGGACATTCCAGGAAAGACAGAAGGTGAGCTCAGACAGAAGGGGAAAGGCACCGAGGAGAGGGGACACGCACCAGAAGGGCCCCATGCGTGCACACAGAGCCCTCCGCAAGGTGACAGCCGCTGGCTGCTGCTGAGCAACAGGCACAAGCAAAGAACAGACGGAACAAAGAACTGTTGGAAATTACAATCCTGACAGAAATAAGAATGGCCGTGTACAAAGACAGAGTCGGGGGAAATGCCCAGAAAGGGACCCACAGCAACAGGTACACCCAGAGCAGGACAGAGGAAAACCAGCCAAAGGACACCGTGGAGGACGGTGACTGCAGCAGGGTCAAGAATCCAGGAGGGACTGCGACCAGGAAGGACAGAGTGCACCCCCTAGTCAAAGCCAACTTCAGACGGAGAGGGAGGCTAAGGAGGAAGGTGAAACTAAGGCCCGGGAAGACGCTCAGGATACCCAAGACAGAGCTTCACAGAGAAGACGGGCCCCACACACGACTGTATCAGGACGTCATCAGTGTCATGGAAACTGCGCTGCAGGCTGAAAGGAAGGGATGCAGTGGCTGCTGAGGAGAGGGAACTCGCAAGGCCCTCAGCAGGACCAAGGAGAGGCAGGGGAGGCAGGGGACAGTACTGGAAGATGCAGGGGCTCCATCCACCAACACCCAGACACTACAGACCAGCAAAGCAAAGACAGCAGAGAGCAGCCCAGCACTGTGGACGTGTCCTGCTGCGACCATGCAACGGGTGCCAACTCGGGGCCACGGGACAGTGTGCAGAGGGCAACCTCGGGGGCTCCTCTCCCACCCTCCACAGCTGAGAATCACACAAGGCCACAGCCTAGGAAGAAGGAGTGTGAGTGTGCAGCTTACTGCACTCCCAGGGGCCGACAGCGGCTGCCCCAGGAGCAGGGTGTGAGAGTGGGGGCCAGAGGCCCAGGTCTGCATTCCAGAGATTTTGTTTAAAACATATTGGAAGCAGGGACTGCCAAAGCCAGTGTGGAAAGCAGAGGTGACAGTGTGCTGAAGAAAGGCAGTTTCACAAGCCACGCCACATCCAGGGGCCCACTCAGGACAGGCCCCTGCCGAGGGCCACCCAACCACAGGGCTGGGGCAGAATCCAGGAAGAGCAAGCCTGGCCCACCACAGGCACACAGCAGAGAGCAGCAAGCCCAGGATCCAAAGACTGTAGGGGTTGCTGGACAGGAGGCATCACAGAGCGCCGTGCCTGCCCATAATGCACCACCACCCATGAAGGCGTGGGCAGAAAGAGTCCCACTGGTGGGAACTAGCCCAAGACCATCTGCCAACTGCAGGAACATGGGAGATACCCATGCCCCAGCCAGAGGCAGCCCTCAGAACCCTGGTGCAACTGTGGAGGGAGGGCACCTGCGTCCCCAGGCCGCCTAGGAACTGGGGCAGCAGCCTGTGGCCAGCCCGCACCTGCCTCTCGCAGTAGGCCTTCATCAGCTTGCTCAGTGGGGTGTGCCTCTTGATCTTGAACTGCACCACGGAGCCATCCTGCCCCGCCACCTTCAGGTTGATGTGGTCATTCTCCGTCTTCACACCCTCCTGCAAAAGACAGGACACAGCTTCAAAAGTTGGCTCAAGATAATTGTGAATTAGGAGGATCACAATTTCAATGCCAGCCTCAGCAAAAGCCAGGCACTAAACAACTCAATGATACCCTGTCTCTAAATAAATAAAATACAAAATAGGACTGGGGATGTAGCTTAGCGGTCACGTGCTCCTGAGTTCAATCCCTAGTACCTCTCCAAAAAAAGAATATTCTGCCAATTACCAATGTGCTATTAAATATTGAATGATAAATGAAAAGATCTGAACTTAATGACATTCTCCATTCCCCTTGTTCAGTCTGCCTCAAAATATTTTTAAATAATTTAGCCCATTTCTAATTCTTACAATACATACAAAATAAAAATAGTACAATAACAGGTGCACAGTACAAAAATGAATTATGTATGTTTTTTCATGTAAGTTAAATGTTGTTCTCTCATCATATCAAAATAATGTGCATAGGGGCTGGGGTTGTGGCTCAGCAGTGGAGCGCTCAACTAGCAAGTGAAGGCGCTGGGTTCCATCCTCAACACCACATAAAAATAAGTAAATAAATAAAGGTATAAAAAAAAGATAACTGATTTTAAAAGGCAAGTCTTTAGGTAAGAGTTGGTTTTATTAAAAAGTCATTAAAACCAACCTAATTCTTAAAATTCAGAGTCACTCATGTGACTTTTATTTTTACACAGAATTTATTTCTAACTTCCTCCCACTAAGCACCCACGCATAAAGAAATGTGGGGCAGAACTGGAGTCCCGCAGAAAAAGCTGATTGAGTCAAAGAAAAAAAAAGTCATTTAATAACAATCTTGGAAAAAATTAAGAGGAAATCCTTCTTTGTCCTAAAATCGCTCTTATGAAGGTAATAAGAACACATGTCCACAGGTTACCTGACTGGGGAGACAAAATCAACATCCACAACCTTGAGGGACCCTGGCACCCTGAGGGCTTTGTGGGGACCAGATTCCATCGGGGGGCTCCCCGCTGCGATGCCATCACTAGGACCAGAGGAGCCACCTCTGTGAAGTCTCCACTTCCGAGCAGTCCTGTCCTGGGGCTGGGGGAGCTCAGTGGTAGAGCAGGTGCCTGGCATGCACAAGGCCCTGGGCTCTACCCCCACCCACCAAACCCATCAGCCTATCTGATGGCAGTCATCCCGGTGCTTTATTTTTATATAATTCAAGAGACACACAAGCTACCCAACAATAGCATAATGAGGGTTCTTTGTTGCCTGGAAGCACATTTTGAATCAATTCCAAACTTTATGTTAAGGGGCAGTGAGCCACCTATATAGGCCACTTAGTCTGAAAAGGAAGTGAGGTTCCAGAGCTATTTTCTGTTTTCCAAAGTACGTCTGGCCCACCAGATTGGCTACCTGGGAGTCCACAGGAATGACCTGTTTCTTAACAACCCAGTGAGGCCCCCCGACCCAGAGGAAGGCCAAGTCCAGGGCAGTCTGCAGAGTCTGTATGTCTTCACACACAGGCCTGGCTAGAGCCCAGACTACACGGAAGCACCCTGTCCCTCTGATGCCAGCTGCTCCCTTCTTTTCCTAATGGGGAGAGTCAGGCGCCCTCACTCTCTCCCTGAACACCTGGCACACCTGGCCAGAAAAGGGGAGCAAGGTGCGGAAGGCTTGCACATTCATGAGCCGTGGAGCTCCCTGTGCACAGCCCTGGAGATCTGGCAGGAGCAGAGCCTGTCCAGGGAGCTATGGTGGCCTGAAAAGTGGCACCTGGGGTCAGGGGCTCCAGCAAGGAGCTGGTAGACACATGTCCCTGTAGCACTTACCCACCCCTCTGGAGAGGGCCAGTGGCCAAGTGCCTTCCTCCTCTTGGGGAATGCCAGGGCTTGCCCTGCAAGCCACAGCCCTCTCCAGAGCACAGCTCCAGGCCTGAGCAAGGTGGCAATGCCGATCAAGGGACGTGAATGACCCAAGGCCCCTGCTCCGCCACAGGACCCCTTGAGCTTCCCCCTTCACTGCCCAGAGAGTAAGGATGCTCAGGCTTCTTCATCTAAACAGATGCAGGACTAGAACCCTGAAGCCAGCAGAAGCACAGCAGGTGCCAGCACAGGCCAGGGGGCAGGCCTGAGACACTCTGGCCCCCTAACAGAGACACCAAGAGGGAACTGTCCCAGCCCTCAGTGAATCTAATAAGCAAGTGAACTCAGGAGTTAAGAAAGAAAGCTGAGGCCAACCTGGGCGACTTAGCGCCTATCTCAAAATAAAAACTAAAAAGGGCCGAGGATGTAGCTCAGTGGTAAAGCACCCCTGGGTTCAATCCCCAGTACCTCAAAAAAGAAGAAAATGAAAAGACCACATAAATCTTATTATATTTACCTTCATTAAGGGAAGGTGGGGTAGAAAAGAGCTGGGCTGAGGTGGGAGGATCCCGAGTTCAAAGCCAGCCTCAGCAGAGGCGAGGCGCTAAGCAACTCAGTGAGACCCTGTCTCTAAATAAAATACAAAACAGGGCTGGAGATGGGGCTCAGTGGTCAAGTGCCCCTGAGTTCAATCCCTGGTACCTCCCCCCCCCAAAAAAAAAGAGCTGGGAGAAGTAGGAAAGTTGGCCCACCAAGGTCACATTCCCATGTAACAAAGCAGAAACCCAGAACCCATGCAAGCTCAAGAAACTGACAGTGAAGCATCTGTGACCCAGTGACCATATTCTCTCCAAAAAAAGACAAACTGCAACACAGTAACCTAATTGGACAGGGGCACACATGAACACCAGATTCCTGGTACTTGGACTCAAAGACCCACTGTTTTTTTAACCTCCAGCCAACAGCCTTCAAGGCCAACCTCTTCCCCTCTGATCTTACCATATAAAACCCCAGACAACAGACATCCATTGGCAACCCTCTCCTGGGACCCACCCTTTCAGGAGCTCTGCTTTCTATTACTCCAATAAATCCTGTTACTTTGCTCTTGCCCTTTGTGTCCCTGGATTTCATTCAAATTCATAAGACAAAGAACCCACCCAACCCCATGCTCTGTGCTACAAAGTTACCTACAAAGCACAAGGGCATCTGTGCCTGGCCTAGGATCAACAGGTGCTCACCCAAACGGTCTGGGTGGACAGTGGTGTAATAAGGCCCAGGGCTGCAGTTGGACCTTTCCTCAAAACTATCACTCATGGGGCCAGCGGAGGCTTTCGGGTGGGTTCCCCCAGTCCTGACAGCCAGGAGCCCTCAACTGAAAGAGAGGATGATCTATTTCAGGACCAGGCAGGTGATGGAGAGGCAAAAAGCATTCGGCTCAACACTTTATTATCTACTGATTAAAACAGACCTCAACAGGTCAGAACACAGGACCAAAACTTTACATTTAATTAGGAGTCAGCAACCTTGGCCTTCCCAGGGACTACAGTGGGGCCTGAGAGGCGCAAGCCCGAGTACCACGATAGCCAGCAATGCATCACAGGACTGCGATCAAGGTGAGCACGTGCAACCAGGACAGCGATGGGGGGTGGGCACCCACCTCAGTACTCAGATGGAGGGCGTGCACCCCAGGACGTAAAAGAGGGGTGCAGCCCAGGACTCTCATAGGTGCCTGCCCTACAGGATTGCTATGGGGGTGTCCCAGCACCAAGGAGCTATGGGACTGCTCAGAAGGGACGACTTGATGCTCGCACAGTAACGCGCTGCCTGGGAAGCTGGACTCGACCTGCAGCCAGAGGTTATGCCGAGGAGAGGGGCGGTTGCACTCGAGTGAGGACTGAGGAGAACACGCCAGGTGCAGATGCGGGCGCTGCACTCGGCAGCAGGCTCTGCGCTCAGCGACCGCGGCAGCCAGAGACGGCAGGCTGAGCAGACCGGGTCCCAGGCCACCAGCCCAGCGGCTCCCCAGAGCTCCAGGCTGACGGGCCTAAGAGGCGGAGTCGAGAGCGGGCACGTAGCCCGGGGGCGGAGCCAGGGCGGGCCCGGGAGGCGGGGCGTATTCCGGGGCGGAGCCATATGGGAGCGAGGCACCATCTGGGCGGGGCCCGGCAAGCCAGGCCTCCAGGGCGGAGCCGGGCGAGGCAGGGCGTGGCGAGGCGCGATGGGGGCGGAGCCGGGCGAGGCGGGGGCGTGGCGAGGCGCGAAGGGGGGGCCGCGGGCGCCGGCGGGGGGAGGGGCGGCGGCGCGGTCCGCGAGCCGAGCTCCCGGCAGGTTGGCGGGCCGCGGCTGCGGCTCTGCGGGCAGCTGGCGGGACGGGCGTCGCGCTTACCTTGGGCTTCTCCTCGGACATGGCTGCGCGGGGACGGCAGCGAGACGCGGAGGCGGAAGAGGCAGCGCGAAGCGGGCGAGTCACGCTCTGGGCCCCGCCGCTCTCCCGCCGCAACTGCTCGCGGGGCCGCGCTTTATCCCCAAATCCCGGCGTGCCGGTTGGCTGGGCGGCGTCACGTGGCTGCGCGCGTGCACGATGCGCGCTCCCCGTGCCTCGGGGGCGCGCTCGGCCGGTCGCGGTTCCAGGCGGTTGGAAATGCGTCACGGGGCGGGTCCCCGAGCGTCCCGTGCCCCGGGGGCGCGCAGGGCCGGGGGCGCGCAGAGCTCCAGGGTGAGGAGGGACCCAGGGCGCCCTGGGCGCGCCAGGCTCTCGGTTGGGGACGGCGCCAAGGTGCGCAGGGCCCGGGGTGGGGGCGGGGGCTCAGGGTAGTGGGTGCCTGCGCTCAGGCCTGGGAGGCTCTCGGGCGTGGCAGGCCCAGCGGTGTGCAAGGTCAGGGCCTGGACGGTGTCTTGCGGGGCCTGGGCACAACCTGCCCTGGTGGTTCCGTTCCACCCACCTAGCCCTTACCAAGTTCAGTTCCGTGGGCAGAGCCCAGGCCCCTTTCCTGTGGTGCGGACTGCACTTCTAGGAGGTAAAGGAAAATTAGGGCAGCCTGGCCAACCCTCTTCAGGGGCCCAGGGAAAGCAGCAAGTGACCTGTCCTGGCTTTCGGAATAGGCTCTACGCCCTTCACTGACTTGAGGTGAAGGTCCCAGTTGCAGGCCGGGAGTGTTCCAGGCCTGCAAGCCTCATCCACTGAAGATAACCCACATTTTGTTGGTTGAGTGAGCCTGCACAGATTCCTGGATCCTGAATTCTAGGTGGGGTAGCCAACCATCCAAAGTCCCCTAGACAGGGGAGAGCTGCCAAGTCCTGCTGGCTGCACCTCCCACTCAACACTTAAATCCAGACTGCATTCTCCATCCTCCTTCCTACCTAATTCCAGTTTGGGGCCTTCGGAACCCCAAAAGTAGAAAGCACCTGGGAGAACAGAGTGGCAGGAGACACAGGAGGACACCCTTGTGACTCACGGTTCTGCTATTTCTAGAATGCTGTCCTAAGTCACCCACACCCAATCCTCCCAACTCATTTTACATAGGAGGAAACAGTCTGTTGGAGGTGAGTGACACACCCAAGGTCATACTCTAAGAAGCACTACTGGAGTCTTGAGTTAAGGCAGCAGTCTTGACCTGTGTCCAATGCAACTCTGACTGCAAACCCAGGGATAGATCTCAAGGAAACAGAATGTGTTCTCAGGTGGTCAGAGAAAATGGGCAGAGAACTTGAACCTGTGTAGTTAGGATGTCCTCCATGTGTCAGGGAGTATGAGTGCCACCTCACCCTGTCCTTCCTTCTGTATCCTGATGTCCTCAGAAGGGATGGACCAGTTAGGACTGATTCACCCACCCCCAGGCATGCCAAGCCACGTGCTGGCCAGCTGTGTCCAGAGCAATATAGCAGTGTTACCGCTGTTGACCTGGTTCCCCAATGTTGAAGTATAACACCAGAGAAGCACGCCGAGGCAAGGTCAGAGTGGAAAGTAGAAGTTTGTTAAAGGACAGCAGAAAAGACTTCTCCTGGAGGAAGAAGGGGACCCAAGAGATGGAATCCACTGAAGGGCGAATGTATTCCCCCTTTTATATATAGTTCTTTCAGTGATGGAGGTAGGTGGAAAGGCTCCAAGGGTGGGGCACAGGTGGGCCAAAGAAGTAATCTTTTAGGACTTTTGGGTCAGCATCTTCAAGTTTGCTGGGAGCTGTTTCATTAACATTTCTTTGGGATGGGCTCTGGGCCTTGGGGACATTAACATTCCATGAGTTGTCCTGCTTTTCCCGGAATTCATTCTCAACATGGCCTCCATTTTTTTATTTTACTCGATATTAGACCCGATTTACCTAACTACACTGACTACCTAACTTTAAATCTGGCTTCAGCAGCCTCTGAATCCTGAAGCCAGGAAGCTGGATGAACGGGGTTAGCAACCAGGAAACGGCGGCAGCATCTGGATGTGTACCTAAGTGTGCATCCCATTTCCATCCTGTCCAAGGAAGGCCCACAGAGAGGGTGCTGCTCACCCCCTGTTAACACTGCAGCCATGGAGTCCAGTGTGTGTACTTGACTTCACAGCCCTCCACTCTGAAGCATTTGCCTACTTGGGAAAAGGCAGGGGCTCTTCATGAAGGAGTTGGAGCCAACCTCCAACCAGTTCCACAGTTTGGTTCCTAAAACTGGACCGTGGCTGGCCTCTAGCTAGAACATGCCCAGGTAAAATAGCCAGCTCAGTTTCTAGAAGATGAGCACCTCCTCTAGGAGCCAGCCCCAGGGTGACTGGTGAGCCAGGACAGGCCATATTCAGAGACCATAGCCCACCACTAAGTCCAGGATACCATGAGTTATAAAATATGACATTATTGCATACACCATGTACTTATTAAACTATGATGGGCTATGAGTGAAAGGCTCCAGGTTAGAGTTGAGGACGTGAAAAATATACAGCTTAGAATTGATTAAAAAAAAAAAAAACTAAATGTGCTAGAACAGAAATTAACTGAACTATGATCTGTTCACACAGTGGAAGGCTATGTCACTATTAAAAGAGATATGTTAAAAAAAAAAAAAAAAAGACTGGTAAGTTTTACCAAGCAGATCATAAGCTATGGATTTGATTCGTATTTCTGTGTGTATAAATAGTGGATGGAGCTGGTTGCAGCTCCCACACTTTCCCATCTGTTCCAGATCCTTTAAAATGACAGAAAAAAAATGCAGTGTTCACAGCAACAGGAGAAAACACAAAAGAATGCTGTTAGAGGGTTAAAGAGTCACAAAAAACTTAGCAAAATGGGGTTAAATTGACAGACAAGAGCCCAGGAAAAACTGCCGCCCACAGGAAGCAAGGTGGAAAGAACCGAGCAGGGGACAGCTGCTCACAGCTGAGCTCCAGGAGGGGCCCTGGCCTGGGCTAGCCAAAGGCTGGCCCTGACCTGTCCCCACACCCAGAGCTGTAGCTACAGGAGGATTTGGGCCATGACACCAGGCTGAGACCCCAGAGTTCACTCCAAAGAAGATCCTGTGCCTGAGGAGGCCCTGGAGGGCTGTGGGCTTGCAGGAGGCCCGAGCCGGTGGGGAACACCGAGGCACCAGGCTGCCCGCCACCACAGACCCCAACACCCACACCACGTGCCCAGCACCCCCTTCTGGGGCGTGGGAGTAGGCACAACCCCCTGGGAAGACATGGAGCTGGAAAGTCAGTGGGAGGACTATGGCTTAAGACTTGGTATGTGCTGAACAGGAGAAAGGCCCTGGCCCAGGCAGGACTTGGGGAACTATAAGAAACATCACAGGACTCCCCAGTTACAGAGGCAGCAGGGACAGCGAGAAAGTGGGAGCACTGTGGATCAGTGCAAAGACCATGTCCACCAGACAGAAGCGTCAGAAGATGGAACAGAGTGGGAGAAGAACAAGTCAAAGCCCCATGAAGGGCATTTCTCAGGACTAAAGAAAACTGTGACTCCACAAACGGAAAGGGCGGGAGAGGGGCCAGCCTAAGCCTGGGAATGAGGGTTCCCGCTGGGCCGCAGCAAGGACTCCTGGGGCAGTCAGAGCCCTCCTGCTAAAGTCAGCCAGAAAATCTACCTGAAATATGCCCCCATATGGGCAAAGACCCTAGAAAAGAGACAGCAATTCTTTTTTGTTTGTTTGTTTGTTTTTGTTTTCGTACCAGAAATTGAACTCAGAGGCACTCAACCCCTGAGCCAGGTCCCCAGCCCAATTTTGTATTTTATTTAGAGACAGGGTCTCACTGAGTTGCTGCGCCTCACTTTTGCTGAGGCTGGCTTTGAACTCGGAATCCTCCTGCCTCAGCCTCCCAAGCTGCTGGGATTACAGGCCTGCACCCTGGCGCCCAGCCTCTATTTACTTTTTGAAACAGGGTCTCTCAAAGTTTATGAGGCTGGCCTGCAACTTGTGAGTTACAGGGGTTACAGACCTGGGCTTCTGCATCTCAGAGGAGGCCAGAAATCTGAAACCAAGGTGCTGTTGGGGCTGGTGTGCTAAGATCTCTTCCTGGCTGTGGGCGGTCCCTTCTCCCTGTCCCCTCACCAGCCTTCGCTCTGTGCCTGCAGACAGGGAGTGTTCCTTGGTGTCTCTACAGCCGGGATACTTTGGGCCTCACCCTATGACCTCAGTTAACCTTCACTACCTGCCCAGTGGCTCTGGATCCAAGCAGTCCCATTGGGAATTAGGCTTCCTACATGAATCTGGGGACAGGCTCAGTCCCTAAAGTGCAGTGACAAGAAGTGAGTCCCACAGCAGTTCTTGAACCTGTAGGGTGGGAGCACGTGGCAATGACCTGCCAGATGGGGGCTCTGAGAGGCTTCAGCTAAGGGCACCATGGGCCAGAGGGTAGGAGTGGGTTTTTACAAAGAAAACCAAATGATCCAAGAGATCCTTGGGAGAAGAAGATATTGACATAGTCAGACAAGAAAGCAGCAGATTAATATGTGCAAGAAAATAGACGGAAATCTTCAGCAGAGGAGGAGCATGTCTAAAAAAGGGGATGCAGGAGTGACAGGGACTCTTAGAGTGGTTTTGATTTGCATTTCTCTGATTGCTAGAGATGGTGAGCACTTTTCCATATATTTGTTGATGGACTGTACTTCTTCTGTGGAGCGTCTGTTCAGTTCCTTGGCCCACTCATTGATTGGGGTATTTGGGTTTTTTGGTGTTAAGTTTTTTGAGTTCTTTATGTATTCTAGAGATTAATGCTTCATCCGAGGTTCATGTGGTAAAGATTTTCTCCCAATCTGTAGGCTCTCTCCTCAAGTTACTAATTGTTTCCTTTGTTGAGAAGAAGCTTTTTAATTTGAATCCATCCCATTTACATCTCACTCCTGTCAGAATGGCAATCATCAAGAATATAGGCAACAATAAGTGTTGGTGAGCATGTGGGGAAAAGGCACACCCATACACTGCTGGTGGGACTGCAAATTGGGGCAACCACCATGGAAAGCAGTATGGAGAGTCCTCAGAACACTGGGATGGAACCGCCATTTGACCCAGCCATCCCACTCTTTGTTTTATGCCCAAAGGACTTAAAATCAGCACACTGCAGTGATGCAGCCACGT